CCGAGCTGATATAACGATCACAGATATCCGGTAGTGTTTGAATTTTATTTATTTTCGTACAAATCCAAATCACTTAAACTTTTTGGCGTGTATTTATCAAAAATAGGTGAATCTTTGAAAAATATCAAAAAAATATTTTACATGAAATAAATTAATCAAAACTAGCCCCGAAAAGTTTTGGGGGGTATTTTTATCATTTATTTTCAAGAATAATTTTTTTATTAGGTGCGCCTTGATGAGAAAAACACACATGGATTTGTCGAAAAAAATAAAATTCAAACACTACCAAACATTCGTGATCGTCAGATCGGCCCAAATTCAATCTGGATCATTGGGCTCATATATTCATATGAGCTAGTGGGCTAATCCCAGCTTTTTCTATATATATATATATATATATAAACTTCATAACCTTAGATTAAAGATAGAGAGAATTTTGAATGGTGGATTTACTAATTTTGTAATCTATCTTTTTTTTTTAAAAGTTAAATTTTATGAAATCTTCATCATTTATTACGGGCAATTTTGTAAATATTACTACAAAACAAGGGGTATTTTTGTTATCTCCATAAAAGATAAAGTTGAAATTTTTACTAAAAAATAATGACACTCTACAAATAAACACTAACTTTCAAAATGTCGTATGCCAAATTTGCTCTTGCTTAATGAATAAATTACCTATTAAAATAATTTTTTAAACAAAAAGTAATGATATTTAAAATAAATTATTATTTTTTTATTCATAGTAACAACAACTTATGAAAACTTTAATTTCACAAATAAAAATATTTTTATTTTTCATTCTAAACTAGTTTTTTATTCTAAAATGCTTTTTTTAAAAAATAAAATAAAATAAAATATTATTCAATGAAACATGAAGTTTCTAAACAAAGAAACATCACTTAAAAGAAAAACGAAACCGCGTTTATGTAATGGTAGTGTATACTTAATGGGAAAAGTTTATATAGAGCGGACGCTCTAAACATTCAAATTTGAGCCCACATCAAAAATTTCACAAGAAAAAGTTGTTTTGATGCCCAAATATATTTAAATTGATCATCTCGACATCAAGATGCATAGACATGAGAAAAAAATGGATTTCAAGTTTTAGAATAGTGTATTTTGTAACGTATTTTTGGACTGTCAATTTTTAAGATTTTTAAGCTTTAATAGATCTGTCGATCTACACCATTTTTGAAGTTTAAAACTTTATAAATAAATATAAAAATATATTTTAAGGCCATCACAAAGATTTCTAATATTGAAACCACATTATTTGACACTATTTGAAGGTAGGCTCTAATTTGATTGTTTAGAGCCTAGGCTCTATACAAACCGCACCCATACTTAATTGACGTGTTGTATACATGTCCAAACTGTTAACACATGTCCGTGTCGCCCAAGGTCAATCTGTGGTTAGACCCAGACACATGTGTCTATATTTTATAGGTTAAACACCTTGTATACCCTTTCTAAATTTCTAATATACCGAAAGATTTCGATGCTCTACTCCTCTAGTAGTGTTTCCTCTGTTCATTCCCTCAACCCAATCTACAATTTGCTCCCCCTTACCAAATTTTGCGATGCAACATCTTCAACCTAGCATCCACAAAAAAAGAAAAAAAATAAAAAATATAAATGCTCAAAAAGAATAATTTCCTAATATTAATAATAAAACAAGTGGAAAAAAGTTTATATAAGATGTCAACCTTATATTGTTTTAGTGAGGTGCACCTACAAAACCCATTAGAGAAGGTTGTATATTTGCTGGAAAACCCTTGAATCGATCATCTCGACCTCAATATTCATAAACAAAAAAAAAAAATTTTTAATGGTAAAAATAGTTTATCTTCTAACATATTATCCCATTTTCAAGATTTTTTAAATGTTTATAGATCTGCTGATCATTACCATTTCTAAAAGTTTAAATTTTGTAGTTGTGGACAACAATAGATTTTTATATTATCGCAAGGTTTTGCAACACCTAAACTGCATTTTCAAAATAGTTTTGCGATGTACCTTATTTCAATAGGTTGATACCTTAAACAAACCTCACCCAAAAAAATAACCTTCTAATGTTGAATATATACCATCAAATTTTGGGACAGTAGATCAATTTCAATTTTTTGTTTTTTTTTTTGATATTACAGGTGGATTACACAATTTTAAATTAAATAAAGAGATGGTCTAAAAAACAGACCATTTCATAGAGGTTATAATCATAAATGTCCCTTGAATGCATGCTCCGTTTAGAACACGGGCTTCTCGTTTTAGAACACTAGCTTCTCTAGCACGTCAATGAAAACGTACAGTCCTCACGCACGTCCCCCACAAATACAAAAAAGATGGCGTCCTTTTTGATAATACGTATGCAGGAGAGAGTCCTTGTCTCTGATATCGTTTCTTTTTGGGATGAAGCTTGAGAGAGTCTTGTTGTCTCCCTGTGAGAGTGTCACTGTCCCTCTGATGTCGTTCTTTTCAGGTAAGAGGCTTTTTTAGGGAGAGAGAAAGAATCGTTTTTGAAGTAAGTTTTGAGGTTTAGGTTTTGATTTGGAACCTCGAAGAGTGATCGGAGAGAGCAAGAAGCTTTAAACAGGGATAGGTTTTGAGGTTTATGTTTGGTTTGGAAAGAGTGAACCCTGAAGAGTGACCACTGATAGAGAGAGAGTTGCATCATTGGGTTTGAACTTCGAGGACTGATCCAGAGAGAGAGGTCTCAAGGCTCTGTTTTATTAAATACCTTATTGAAGAGATGCTTCTTTACTCTGTTTTTTAGCCAATGTGGCAGACACTATGCCTTTTGTTTTCTTTCTTTTTTCCTTTTTTTATAAAACTAATGTAGCAGACTCTATGCCTTTTCTTTCTTTTTTTCTTTGACTTTAACTTTAATGCTATCAATTCTGGCTACTCTTATTATTGCCACTAAGGATGGGTATATTCAATCACGCATTTTTTGTTTCTTTTTTCAGATTTCTATAAAAACATGTTTTTCGTTCTTTTATTTCTTATTTTAATAAGAACCTTTTTTTTTTTTTGCTAATAGTCATAATTTTGTCCGTTGTTCATGGTTTTATCCTGTTCAAAACTTGTCTGACTTACTTGGCCTTGAAATCCTGCTGAGCACGGTTTCTTAGACAATTTGGGTTTGCCAATATCACTTAAAGATCATAAAATTTGTTATTAAATTTCTTTTAAATGATGTGTAAATATATTTCTATGTAATTTTTACGTTCTTTATGATGATTTCTGAATTTTTTTATATAAGAAACCAAATTTGGGTTTGCTAAAATCACTTAAAGATCATAAAATTTGTTATGAAATTTCTTTTAAATGATGTGTAAATATATTTCTATCTAATTTTTACGGTCTTTATGATGATTTCCGAATTTTTATTATTTATATACTTTAATTTTATATTTCCCTTGTTTTGGATTTTTTAGTATTGTTTCAAGGTACAAATAAGTTTACTCATTATCCATCTTAGACATGTATTTTTCCATCTTTTGTAGAATTAGATGATGTTTATAACTCCTGTACTTTTTACTGATTTTCATTTGTTTTAGCAACCTTCCTTTTTGGGGGCCATCCAGAGCTCAAGCTGAGATTCTGAACATTGGTTTTACCTGAAAAACCCTGAAAGAAGAAAGACTCGTCTTAATTTGGTTTATTCTATCTGGTTCTTCAGTGAAATTCCTGGTGTTTTCTCTGTTCTACCAGAAAAATTGGAAAAATATTATAGATTTAAGTCTTGGTTTCTTGTTATAATTTATGCTATGTTGTTTAAAGTGTTGAATTTTCTGGCATTGCACTTTATTTTAAAAGATTCATGGAATATTTCAGTTTCTCTCTGTAGTATGATTTTATGTCTTAACATAGAATGTTAGGACATGGTTTTTATTCTTACACTCATGTTAATTATTTCTATTTTTAGGAAGAGTAATGTAATAATCATGAAGAGCTTGTTCTTGGTAAACCACTCCTTATTTCTTTTTAAGTCTAATTTATTATTTGTTTTCTTTTTGTGTATATCATATTAATTTCCTATGATTTAGAGAGTGTTGTAAAGAAGTATAGTCATGCCCAAGCGAATATCGAAGAGTTGGTTAGTCTTGGTTGCGTGGTATTACATGGCATTGATGCAACGAAAATAGTTCACAATAGCATGTTGAAGGAGCAATTTTTTGATAGAATCGTGTTCAACTTCCCTCATGCTGGTTTCCATGGAAAAGAAGATGAAAACTGGGTCGTCAAGTAAGTCCATGAAGCCTTGGTTTCTTTATTTCCCCTCAGATTTCTCATGCTCTATGTAAAAACCTTTGTATGTGTCTCCACACGTGTTTGTAGTCTCACAATCGCCTGAGTTTTCTAAGGTGGTTAGAAGTTGACAACAATGTCATTGACAACTCTTCCTTTCAGTTTGTAATTTTAAAGTGACATGGTTATTAGGTTCTTTCCCAACTGTCTTAACTAATATTGGACATCTATGTGTCTCTCGACGCATATATTATATATGTGAGGACACATGTGAAGCTTCGCATTATATATTTCCCCTTCTATAATTTGTGCAGTTCTTGTTTTATCTATGTTTGAAATTATTATTTTTTCCATTAAATATGTAAAGTGATGAAGAGATGAGGAATCACCTGAATAGGACATGACCCTAATGGTGGTTCCAGCAATCTCTCCATTGTAGTCCATCATTTCATGAACCCCAATGGGCCATATTTTTCCATAATTCATATGGCGTTTGTATACTTCCCCTATTTATCATGATAGTTGCGTCTTTTCATAATTTTTTTAAATCCAATGTACCAAACATGAA